TTATAAAATTATAAATTTATAACCGTGAGCATTTGGCTACAGTTTTCGACTTGTCGTGACGCGTCATCTTTTTCCGTCGCTTGTACTGACTTGACTTGATTCCTGGGTTTCAGAATGGGCATCGCATTGGCATTTGGCGAGGTCATCAAAATCTATGACCCACTTTAAATAGGCCCCGCTTCTTTTTACCCCCATTACATCACCCGTCGATTTATGACAAGTGGCACCATTTCCCTTCGTCAGTTCTTTCCATCCCATACGTTTCTCCTTCTCTTTTCCTTCTGTGTCTTAATAAACGCGCTCTCTGCTTCTGTGTTTTTTATCCTCTGCCAAAACAATTCCAGAGAAACTGAAGATCAAACCCGAACAGCAGAGGTATGATCATGATCCTAATTCTTAATTTCTGTTGTTGTTTGGTTTTTTGAAATGTTTATGTTGATCATCTAATCTTTGATTTATGTATCATCTGAACATGTTGGATTTTTTTTTTTTTTTTGAGTGACAAATTTCTTTGTATCAGCTGAAAGTTTTTTTGTTTTAGCTGGAACTGTTTGATTTCTGCAGTTGAAATAAATGGGGTAACTTTGTTTATGTTTCATCGATCATTAATGTCAGGGTTCACTTTGAATTTGAGTTCATTTGGACTGGAAAATGGTTTGTAGTTAGGTTTGATGAAATTGGTTTGCTTGTTTTCAATAAAGAAAGCTCCTTTTCACTTTGTGATTTGGTTTGATGAAATAGGTTTGCAATCTTTACAAGCCCAGGCAGGGATAAAATGAAAAGGTGGGGGGAAGAATACCGCGGGTAAAAGGTCTATAGCTTTCTCTTTTTGGTCTCTCTATGCATTCTGCAAATTTCTTATGGTTGTGACATGTGGATTGTGTTGCTTTTCTAGTCTCCTGATGTGTAATTCAGGGCATTGTTATTTGTTATGTTCCTTTATCTTGGTTTTGCCTCTCCTAACTCTTTTTGGGTCTATTGGGTGGCAGGACCAAGGAATTCTCTCTCTCTATACACATTTGGAGGAAGTAAAATGGTAGGTGAAGCTATGGTGAAAGCTGAGGATTTGAACTTGTGCTTTGGGAAGCTGATGATGGCTACCGCTGGGAAAAGTGATGAGGGAGAGAAGATGGAGGGTGTGGTGATCACTGAATGGAAGGATATTCCGATGGAGCTGCTGTTGAGAATTGTTTCACTTGTTGATGATCGGACGGCTATTATTGCCTCTGGTGTTTGTAGTGGGTGGAGGGATGCCATTAGCTTGGGCCTCACCCATCTCTCCCTCTCATGGTATATGTTCTTTTGCCCTCTTTCTGTTTCCTCTCTGTAAAAGTATCCCTAGTAATTTGGCTATTCTTCCTTTCCTCCTCTCTCTCATGATTCAAGGCCATCATTTTTGCTAGAAATAAGATAAAGAGATTGAGTGAGTTGGGGAATTGAAAAATTACTTTTGGAAAAAATGACAAACAGGTAAGGTTTCGGATCTTTTTCTTTATAGTAGGAAGGAGAGTTGAACGTAATGGATCAGATAATTTTATTTTCTTGGTCGGTTGGTCTCAACCAGGGTTAGTTTGAAGAGAATAAGGCAGAAATAGAGAGTTTATTACTTCAGCTTTCTAGTTTTTACGGTATAAACTGTAAAGTCTTGTTTTAGTTTTTGATATACACTGATGCTTCCTTATTCATTTTATATTTTGTGGTCATCTAAGTAGTGGTTTTCTTTGATCTATAGCATGGTTCAAGGGTTTTAATCT